ATGTATTTTAGCAAACAAATGAAATATATACAAAGAATAACAGGATGAGCGACTCATGCAAGATGATGACGATTGAATGCAAGAAAACCGATATTCACGATAATTAGCCTGTCGGAAGCGGATGGGCAATGAAAGAGTCACGGGCTTATCTGGAACAACACTCCTATCTTGCAGTTCGTTGTGCAAAAGGTAGAGTGCATACAAGGAATATAACTATGAACTGCACTGCATCCATGAATCCATAACCTATGCTCCGTTGTACGATTGCACACCGTACACACCTTCCTAATTCCCCGACTGTCCCCGTTTCAGTTCCACTTCGATTACACATTGAATCCCATCGGGAACTTCAGACAATGGTGCAAAAAGTAGCGTCTCTGATGAAAATCCCGTAGCTATCATCTCGCGACCTACCCAGCGTCAAGCCTCATCGAATCCTCCTCCAGCTGAAGATTTCTTTTGCATTATACCTATGTTTTTTCACACACGCCTGAGTTCAGACTGTGCCAAATAAATCATGGTACAATAATCTTTATAAAAAGAAAAAAGCTTAACGATTTGCGCAAGGGCATGATACTGCTAGGTGACCCGGGCCAAAGCAGATGAATTTTCTTAGAAAGTTCACAACTAGAGCCTTCGGCTACCCAAAGCCTGACCCGCAAGGCAGTGGGACGGTGTGTGAAAACCGCAGTCCGTTGGGGGCCGGTGTCCAGATCATTGGATTATACGCCCCTCGGACGGAGTTAAACGTCCAAGGTGCTCGATACATCTCGATACCCAATCCAGCCGGTGATCACTGTCAAAACTAGGAAGGCGTAGGTGGATGTGGTTCGTACGCTCCTTGGTTGGTTTGGGATCAGGGATCTTAGCCAACTCCCCTAGATGAACTGCCAGTGGTTCACCGACCCGGTTACCGCTCAGTTTGGTCGGAAAACAACTCCGCCACGAGGTGCAAAAGAAGGATGACCAGCCGCAACCCAAGATAACTATCCCCGAACATAATGAGGCTTTTGGAGGCGCTTTTCCTCGTCCTCGATACCCTTTCAAACTAGCCATATTCGACTTGCGTACTCCGATGCGTCTAGGAGAACAAGTACATTTAACTCGTACCTCCGAGACCCGGCCATCGATGTGTGTTGTGTCCAAGAGACTCACACTCAACAATCTAGCTCCACCATCCAGTTGGAATCCCCGGTAAAAAGGTAACGCGAACTTTCACATACGCCCTTCTAGGTACCCTGGGGTTGCGGCTTTTTGCCTTGGCTTGGCTCTCAGTGACAGACGAAGTAGCACTCCTGGATTAAATCCCAGTTGACAGTCGGTTGCGCGCGGTGAGACTAAAAGGCTCTTTCAAAGTAAGCAGTTGTCGCTCTAAAAGACGCAACTTGTTAGTTGTCTTGGTGTACGCATCCGCGGATTTCATCCCAGATGCAACTAAAGTTATCTTTTGTCATTAGCAACAAGACCTCTTATATAAGGCAAGTTGGGCTGATATCGTGACTTTAGCTAGAGATGTAGATGTTGGAGTAGATCGGTTATCTTCAAATAAGGCACAATCGAGAGGTCGTTTTGAATAGATTCCTATCGCTCGAATATAGGAAAATGTTCGTCGAGAGTATGAAAATCAGATTATCCAATTGCCATTTCGACTCCTAACCTTCGTCCACACCGAGCCATGGTCGAACCCATATACACCACGCTGTTACAAGCCACCAAGGGCAGGGTCATCCACAAAACTGTTAGTCCCTCCCCCCCTCCTTGGTTTTCGCTTAGTGTCTGCGCCAACTCTGGTCGGTAGCAAGCATAAAGAAACACCACTTCAAACAAGAAATGAAGCCAATGAAAGGTCACACAAAGATCACAAAATATGGTGATGAATGAAACGCGCTGCCGTCACGAGAAATTCCAGAACGTTGTTCCACCTCGGCAGGAAAGCACCAAGTGAGCGAAATAATCTGTGAAGCTGACGGCTCTGATTCATCACCAACAATAGCGTCTTGCAAACGGGACGAAGAACGTTAAGGCACAGATTAGCTGACCATCATCGTCAGCTTCTCCCACAACTACTCCAACACTTGTTTTATGGTCAGATATATTCTGAGGCGGAAATCCGCAAATAACTCCAAGACTTGGGACGTCACAAAGCACTGCTCTCCACTAACCTTTCGCCAACGTTGAAGACGGGTGAATGAAGTTTGTTGGAGGAATGTAACTTCCACTCGGTAAGGCTTGGCACATAGAGCAGGTCCTCCCCCTAGTGGAAGGAATCAATTAGTGTGCATAGCTTCAAAAAGGGCCTGCACAGTGACTGGTCTAGTAAATAGTTAAGTTTAACGCACCCCGGGGAGCGGAACAGAGCATGCGGAGGAAATGGCCTTACCGAGCGACAACAACCAACAAGCATTGAACCTCTTGGCGATCGAAGTATAAAAATGCGGTAGTGCTTTGTATCATCTAAATGCAGGAACCCGGGCCTGAACTCACCATTTATGGCGAGCAGTTAGCAACGTTCAGAAGCTTTAAGTACATCGAGAGATTGGTGCTGGGAGAAGAGATCGAGTTACAAATATCAAAAGCTAGGGTAGCTTTATACAGGCCGTGCTACTATGGCACCGCCATGACATCTGCATCACGACGAGACTGCACCTTGAAGTGGGGTGTGATGGTTTGCGTGCCTGCATGACCCTGGGAGCTAGGCAGGATGGGCTTTTCACAGCAGTAGGTCAAATCATACTCTGAAAGGTAAATGGGTAAGGGCCAGACGACTCTCATTCTTGCAAGATCGGCTGCTTGAACACCTGGATTCTTTTACTATCCACGCTCGCCCCTGGAGAGTTAGTCTAACAAATATATACGGGGAGGGGCAGTTTATTAGTAGGAG